TTTATGTATCTGAATTAACCATGCGTGGTTACTATGCTTTCATCTTTGTATTCCTTTGTGGGTATTTATACTGGCCCTTGTGGCTTATGGTCTTTGTGCTTAACTTATGAATACAATTATCGTTTTTCTCTTTGAAAAAAACTCCCCATAAACAAGAACATAATCCACAATATACGAATTTAAAGCTAATTAATTTTTTATATGTGGAAGTAGAAGAAAATGATCGGATGTAGATGACAATAAAAAAAGCTTAGGAGAGTATAATTCATCCAATGTTTCATGAAGTTAATATGGTAGCTGGCAAAAAAGGAACAAACCTTTGTACCCTATTAATTTATAATTACAAAGACAAAATTTTCTCTTTGGGACTTGAGAGACTTGGGAGACTTTGGGAGACTTGGGAGTTGGGAGAAGGAGGAGAAGAGAGTTGGATCTTTCTCTCATGTTCCATACACACCATGATTGTCGAATAATAATAACTCAAACTCAAGACAAGTTCATCTAGGTTTTAGTGATAATTAATTGACTTGTATAAGAACATAGGGATACGGTTAATTCGCAATGGACCAAATAAACCAATAATTAATCCCACTTAAACCCATAAAACAACAATTAATTATTGCTTGGAGTTCTCTCTATTTTTGTGGCTCAAAAGAATGCACATCTAGGAGACGATGCTAACTGACTTCTTTCTAACATAAGGTTAGAAAACCGCACAAATTGCAAATAAGAAAATGTTTGAAAGTTAGTGGTTTGAGAAAGCCAAACATTTAATTAAACATTAATATTATAATTTGTTATATGTGTAGCTCACAGACTCAGACACATGATGACCTCTCTCTCTCATGTATTTGTCGAATCCCATGTAGTCTTTGCTAATTGTTTGTTATCTATGGTTTCATACGGCTACTAATTAAGCATGGCAGATTTCAAGAAAGCTACTACGTTGAGTTTTGTTTTTGTTTTTATTATTTTTGAGAATCCAAATGCTAAAGAAAATGCCCCTTTTCTTCTTATGCATCTATTGGATCTCAAAAACACACACAAGTTCCAAAATATATATAGAAGGCACAAATAAAGCTGGTATGAGTTAGTTGTAGTTGTATTTGTAATTTTGGACGCTGTATTTCATGTCTGATTTGTTCATGCGTGTGATTGTTACGTTGAAATGTATTTGGTCTTTTAGAGCTATTAGTAGAGAGATACAAGTTGTGTGATGTCACTGGTGTATCCTCCTATATATGGATTTACCTTTTCGGTTCATGTGTATCCATCTTTGTATTAACTCTTTATGAGTATTTGGTTTTTGTGTCCAATTATTGAATACAATTACCGTTTTTTTAAAAAAAATAAATAAAAAAAAAGCTGATATGAGTTTTGATTTTTATTTTGCATGTTCCTAAGTTCAAGATATTTTAGGAAAGGTTTCACTTTCTCTTTACTCTCATAAACACAAATAAGATCTTTATATATATATATATATGTGTGTGAATTTGATTTGGTTATATGTATTATAATTTTTACAAATAAATTGTGTCTATATTGTTGAGACAAAGTTTGTGATTGTTTTGCTTAGGTAGCTAAATTCCCAATGTTGTTGGCATTCTTTATTTTATGTGCATTCCAATTTTGCCCGTATTCAATTATAAATAGCCATTAGCACCCACTAATTTTGTTTTTTGTTGATGATTGTAACAATTAACGTTGCCATCCATCATAATTGGAAGAGAGTAGTACATCAATACAAGTGCACGCACTAGCAGCTGAGAAATAATCCAAATTTGGTTATACAACAAAGCGGCAAATCATTGCAAATTGTCGAACTCACATTCCATTCTCATGTTAAAATAAATGTATTGACAAGAGCCTAGCATGGTTGTGAAGGCCCCAACTACCAAATTATTGGTGAAAACCGAGACGAGATTAAGATTTAACGTGTTAAACTTATGTACATAATTATTGTCACACTATAAATCGTAAGTGATAATTATATAATATGATCGACGAACATATCATATTTTAAATGAATAATACTGACACAATATGTTAAATCATCAACATAAAAGCGTCTGTACAATTTATGAAGTCGTAAGGATATCTAATAAATCTCCCTATCTTAACTTTTTAGCCAATTTGAGAAGGTTGTTGACAAACATTGTTTATCAACTAGCTGCTCAAAGAGTTCCTCATTTTAGATTTGGAGAATGCCATTTTTGACTCATCCAAAATAAAGGGTAAGAAAAAATAGCGTAGTTACGTAGAGTTGTTCGAATTTATACAAAATAGGCTGAAATAGAGAAAATTGTTCGGATACTTGGAAAGTGATTATCCAAGCTAGTTTTCTAATTAATTCTGCTAAAACTATAGTTAAAATCTAGATAGAAGAACACAAACAACACAAAAAGAAAAAAACAAATGCTAAAGAGTTGAAAACAAAAACAAAAACTCAATTAGAAGAAAGACAGCGAGTTGCCCAATACGACTGCCATATTTGCGTTCTGATACCAAGTATCAATCAGCATGGGAACCCTCACTGTAGTGTGACCAAAATAATTAAAAAGAAATTAAAATAATATCAAGTGCTTTTAAATCAAATGGACAATTTTACGAAAGAAACAAGCAGGACGGCTTTGGTTGTCTGACACGTTGTTCGAGGACTGGTTAGGCAACGCCCCCCACAGTCAGCATTGCAGTCAACCAACCAACTTTAAAAGATGGGCTGCCTGGCCCATGCTCTCACTTCTTCTTTTCAGCCCAGTTGTGTGGTAGGTTAAATTACTTTTCTGCCCTTGTATGCCCGAGTGATGTTTCATGTATCATATTTACCGCACTTATTTTTCACATAAGTGTATTAGTTGGTCCACCTCTTTGAAATTATATTTAAAAATATTTTGTACTAGGCAAACCGCACGGAACTTTGATCTAAAAATGTTGAGCGAGCGCATTCAATGATGTTATTTGGACATGACACACTTGTTGTGATGAGTCTTTCGGTTCTTTTCTTTTGTGTGTGTTTATTTTAAGCAAAGTTTTTGACATAGCCAAGGCATTTTATGGCCTACATTCTCAATTGAAGGTAATGCTGCTACAAAAAGTGAGGAGAAATAGTCAAGTAAATAATGGATGAGGATACCATATGTGATTATTTTGGAAATTTAGTGGCCCAAATAAGAGGCAGAGGGGGGGATAAAATAGAGATTAGGGGAAGAGGATTATCAATAATTTTCTTCGTTAAGTGGGAGAGGTGAGAAGCATGTAGAATATGAGGAAACAAATTGTCACGAGTCTGACAGGTTTCATAAATATGTATGGTGTTAATAATGGCCTAACTTCTGATAGAAAATGACACTACTTGTTTATTGTAATCACCTAATATTGTCATATTATAATAAATAAAACTTAAAACATGAACACTACTAACTAGAAAATTAGGTTACGAATGTTAATGTCTACGAAAATTTTTATTCAGTCATTCTCATATTATTAATCTGCTGTTCGAGTGACATTAGTAAAAGAAGAATGACATGAATTTCTTTTTTGATTTTGTTTTGAGTGGAGGAATGGTTTTTTTTCTTTTTCTTTTTAGGAGAAAGCTTATGGGTATGATATATAATGTTGTTAATTTAGTTGGATCTTTCCCCTTGTTTTTTTCACTCGAACTTGGACCTTGAACCAAGGGATGTGCGCTAGAAACTAGCTCCATCAAATACACTTTTGTGTCAAATGGTTGCACGTTGGAGTATATATAGAGTTTTTATAATATTAATTTATAATATAAAGTAAAAAAATTTCGGGCCCTCAAAAATTAAGAATCCTGTGTGATGGCGCCACTTACACCGTGCCAGGGCCGCCTCGACATTGAATACCACCTCCTCCTCCTATTGCCCTAATAAAACCATGCATTTCCGTTTCAAAGCATATAACGAGTGGAGCAAAAACACCATCTTTATGATCCAACGCCTTACACGTTAAATGCATCATCCTAAATTCCTCAATGTGAATTAAATGACCCAAACATTTACTCCCAATAATTAAATAAAAAAACAAAACGCTTTTGTTTCCCTGAAATGAAATTCTCATCTACTTGTGCGCCAAGCAACAATGATGATGTCGTCCGTACAACAGTCACCGGCTCAGTCCAATCGCATCACGAAACGTGTCAACATAACGATTCAAAACCAAAACCGTCTTTCTGGTGGTGGTGAGGTAGACAGAGATAAAAACGCTGGAGGGCATGGCATGCATGGTTGAGGAGATAAAAACACACTTATAAAAAACGGGCCTCACAGTCGAGGTTGCCTGCCACGTTACACTTAGCTGTAAAAATATACAGAAAGATAAGGTTAAAATTGAAAACCGGTACACTTTCTCCCCAGCTTCATAACGCCAGTTTTGTGATTTTTACCCGTATAATGACGAAAACACCCCGAGTGCTGATTTCAGTAACGGAGGGTTAAGCAGTAATTATCATCCATTCAGTGGGTAATTAATGCTATTAATTAATCTTTTCTTCAGTCAAAGTTACCCCATGTGTCTTCTCACGTGACCAGAATCCCAAATTCCAAGAATAATTTTTAATTTTTTTCCAGCTGCTGAGTCAGCTCCGGGCCCCACACCTGAGCTTTCCCTTTCCTCCCCTCCCATTGGATCTCCATCTCTTACCGGGCCCAACCTGCCACGTGTCACTCACCCCTGCCCGAATTATGCGGCGCCTCGTAAAATATCTCGGAGCCTCGCCGGACTCTCTCCCGGTGTGTCCTGGCCCCACCCCATTCGTTTATATATTAAAAAAAAAAAAAAAAAAAATCTTTGAAGCAAAATTCAAACCAAAACAAAAATTGTAAATTGTAAATTTTTTTTTTTTTGGGAAAAAGAAAAATATTTTGGAAATTTAAAGATGGCTCTTAAACCGGGTTTACCGATTACGGCTGTTGGGATCCTATAAAGTAGGTAGTTTTGGTATCCAGCGGAACTGTGCTCCTTTCTCTCTGCGCCTATTATCTCTCTCTACCTCCTCACTCTCACTCCACACTCTCTCTCTAGCTCCCTCATTTCTCACTAAACCCACCACCACTCTCAGAGACTCTCAGTTTTTGCTTCTTGCTTTTAAAGGCCCGATTCCGATTCCCTTTCCCTTTCCGGTTAAAGCTTTGCTCCACTCACCCCCCCATCCCTCTTTTTGGCTTTCAAAGCTTCGCTTTTTTTCCCCTTCAAAAATTTGCCATTCTTTTTTCCGTACCGTTTGCCAAGGTCCAGAGCTCCACGCTCGCTCTCTCCACTTTTTTCTTCTTTCGGGCGAAACTTTCCGTGAAATTTCTCGTCCTTTGATGACACTTTTTTAGGTGATTTCTCTCCGTTTCAAGCACAAGCAGCTTCTCTGTCACGCTTCTTCCTTCTCTCTGTGTCTCTCTCTTTTTCTCTCTCTTTATTCTCTTCACCTCGTGTGCTCTGCGAGAATCTCCCTCTTTTTTCCTTTCTTCTTCTTCAGCAGCCTCTATTTTTAGCTCCCGTCACTCATCTCGCTTTCAATGCGAATCAGCTGCTGGAAGTCTCTCAAATTCTAATTTGCTTTGTTACTTGAAACTATGAATCCGGCTGTTAAGTACACGCAGCACCGCAGCCACACGAAGCTGGTGGCGAATTCGGCGGCTGAGTTTGAGTCGGTGAGGCCCAGAGTTGTACGGATATCAGTCACCGACGGAGATGCCACCGACTCATCCAGCGACGACGAACCGGCCGAGTCGTCGTTCTGCGGGCGCCGCCGAGTCAAGAGGTTCATCAACGAGATTACTATCGAGTCCTGCTCCAGAGAGACTGACGCTGTTTGGAGGAGCCGGACGACGAGGACCGGAAGGAAGAGAGCCTCCCCGAAGTCCGGAGGGCCGGCGAGTCGCCGGACGTTAAAGGCGGTAGCTGCTGCTCCTGCCGGGAAAAAGTTCCGAGGCGTGAGGCAGAGGCCCTGGGGAAAATGGGCGGCGGAGATTAGAGATCCTCTGCGACGTGTACGGCTCTGGTTAGGCACGTACGACACGGCGGAGGAAGCCGCCATGGTGTACGACAACGCCGCTATTCAGCTGCGTGGACCTGACGCGCTCACCAACTTCGCTGCTCCTCCGGCGAAGTCCTTGCCAGACGTGAAGCCGGTTATTAGCTCCTGCTACAATTCCGGCGACGAGTCTCACAACAATCTTTGCTCCCCGACCTCCGTGTTGCGGTGTCCATCACCTTCGAACGAAGAAGCCGACTCGCCGAGTTTGAAAGAGGAGGTTCCGGACATCGCCGAATTCCGAAATGTCCGAGACGACTCTTGTGTATCGGAGAACTTCTCCGAATTTTCGGAATACACCAGTTTCGAATCGTTTATCCCGGACGACATTTTTGATTTCCAGATACCTGACTTCTTGGAGGAAACGAGTCTACGAGAAGTTGGTATTTTGAAGGAAGATTTCGGCGATTTCGGAAATTTCGGCAACATTTTTGTTGATTCGGTTCGGGATTTCGGGTTCGGTTCCTCTGCGTTGTGTGTGGATGACCACTTCCAAGACATCGGCGATCTTTTCAGTTCGGATCCTCTGGTTGCCCTTTAAGACGAGGTCGTTTCGGTCACAAATGAAAGTTCGACGTCGTTCCGGTGACAGAGGACAGTTCCCGTTCGTGTTTTGCCTGTTTGACGGCAAGTTTTGTATATCGGCGGGAAAGAAAATCGGAATGTTTTTTTTTTTCTATCGTGAATTTAATTTAATTTAATTTAATTTTTTTTTGTTTTTATCAGTTTTGGTTGTAATTGTTTATTTATTAACGTTGAAACAAGAGTTTTGCTATGGTACGGTGCTGTGTTATTTTTGGGTTTATCTTTTAAACCCACGTGCCAACGTTGGTACGTGACTAACATAGAAGGTGAAAATCGATTTATTAATATAAACTTTACCAACCGTCCCATAATATTTTTGCAAACACATGTGGAGCAGCACACGTGCTGTGTTTATAAATTGAATTGTAAAATTAAAAGGTGATTTTATTTTTGAGTCAGGATTATAAGATTGGCCCGAATTTAGTAAAATTCTGACTAGTTGTAGCTCTAGTTGTAAGATATAAATCACAATCAATTTGGTGTTTTTTATTTTTTATTTTATATAGCTAGCAGTGCACTCACTTCAGGTTCACTAAAATGGTGGCGGGCAAATAGGTGAAACTGACAAATGATGCTATTTGTACCTAACGTTTTGAAGTTGGCAAAAGATTGCATTGGTTCTTTTATTGTAAACTCTCATTAATATCGTTTGGTTCTTCTTCTTCGCTAGCTAATTTTTTGGCGTTACACCGCATGGAGTATCACATGACCGTAGTTTCTTATTGTTTTTAATTTTGATGATATTTGATGAAATCAAATTATTTCCTTAAACGTTACTATGTAATACCAAACACTGAAGTATCCCGATAAAACATCTTATATGATTATTTATTTTGTTGACATTAGTTCACTTTACCTAAAAATATTGCTTTAGACTTATCACTTATTTATTTTCTATATAAACCATAAGCACAAACTCAAAACCGAGTCTTTTTTAGTATAAGTACAATATGTACAAGAAACATAAGCAAGGTATCTTGATTTTGTGCTTGTTTCAGATTCATGCGCACTATTCCAGCTAAGGATGAAGGATTTAAACCCTTTTTTAGCTCTAAAAAGGGATCTTTGGATAATAAACAAACTAGAAATGTAATTATCATTAGTAGATTAAGTAATTGTCTAATCGTGATGAACCCAATAATTACAATAAAATTAAAGAAAAAAACAGTGCTAAAAAAATGCGAGGGGGAGAGCGGGAAATCCGACTAGGTGTTTATATTCAAATGAGACGTGGCACGTTGTGACGGAATTAGGGATGTGGAAATCCATGCTCACCATAGTGGCAGTGTTATGGCTGTTTTGGCTGGAGGACTTGGTATTTGTATATTACAAATTGTGATCCAGATAGTGGCTTTTCATGCATCTCTTGGGGAGCTTTGGTTTGTACACACGTAGATACATACATGTATATGTATATATAATTTGATTTGGTACATTACATTATATAGAGTGGCCAATTGGGGGTCCGAGACCAAAAAACACCAATTTGAATGTTAAACTTTTAAATATCTAAAACATTACATATAAATATAAAAAGATGTGTCAATTATTGATAGCTTTATTACACATTTGATACAACCATGGCTTGATAGGATTAATGGAAGCATTGGGTCAGGCTCATATTGCTCTGGTGATGATTTACTGCCGAGCCTCCAATTGAAGAAACACTTGTATGTGGAACATGAATAACATTATTTTGTTATTTCTGGTTAATCAGGGATTCACGGGTATGTCACATATGATAATATTTTAACTTGACGTACCGAAAATAGAAAATCAATGTTATCCTCATTTCACACAAGTTTTTCTACTCCAGTTGAGCTCTCTCACTTGTGTGTTTTGTCTGCTGGTACAATTTAGAAAAAAATGAGCATCTTATAGGGGATAGAAAGAAAAAGGAAAAAGAGAGTAAAGGAGCACATAAAAGGAAAAGGTCATGTTTGACTATCTAATTCTAAAGCATGAGTTGGGAGCTTCATATACCCATCATAGTTTGACTTTGGAGAGTATCTCAAGATTAAAAATATATTTCTTTGTTAATTTTATTTATTATATGATACAGGTTAGACGTTCACTATTCGAAATTATGTTGTTAGATTGTTAATCAAAATTGTTCGAAGTATAAGTTCGAATTAATAGTCATTGAACTCTTTATATTTACCACAGTTGTTAAATTTTTGGTGACAAAAGGGAGTGAGGGCCAAATCAATGGTCATGGTTGGATAAAAAGCAATCCAGTGGTCCATGAGATTGTCCGGAATGCCACCATATATATTTTGTCACATTGTGGCTCGCAGTACAGACCCAACTGCAGCTAGCAGCAGCTGAAAACTCACTCTGGCTGGCTAACACTAAGATGCCCCAATCCACAAAAGCCAAAAGTATGCTATCTTATTCCTCAAACAAGAGCCAAAATATATATTAAATAGGTTTTGGCCACACTGAAAATAAACCTGAGTTAACCAAGGTGGTTGGTGTGAGTGGTTCGGCACTCTCATTCCTTAAGAGAGGTCAGGGGTTCGATCCCTGCTCTCGTATGGAGTCACCACTTTGGCCAGCACTTTACTCCTTACGGGCCGACCCGGTGTGAACGGGGATTAGTCTGGGTTGTGGTTAAGGCTTAAAGGTGCCATCCATAGTTGGAGCCCATCCAGGACCACCTCGTGGTTCAGACCAAAAAAAAATAAATAAATAAACCTGAGTTTTACCAAAAAAAAAAAATAAACCTGAGCACACCCTGCCCTCGTTGGCTTTGCTTACCTAATATGACATTGACAAATATACCCTGAGAGACCCAACGTGTCTTTTTCTTTGTTTTCTTTTCACCCTGCCTGCCAATCTATTTGGGCTTTTTTTGCATTTCAAAGGCCCTTTTTATTTTATGGATTTTCTTTTCTAGCTATTTATACACAACGTTTGTGACAAATTCTAGGCCTGTTAAATTGCATGAAGGGTATTTGTGAGGGAGAGAGGACTGAGGTGTCACTTTCTGGTAGATCATGGAGTTTAAGTGTTGCAAATGCAAAGCTTTTGTTCTAATGGAGTGAAATAAGATTTTTCTGAGTAGGTCTCTATGCCCTATGGCAAGGCCCAGTGGGAGAGCGTGGAATTGACGTTAGAAGGGGTCTCTTGTAAAATATAAAATAAAGAGAATAAAAGCATAAATATTGCAAGTTCTCGAGTCCTCGTAGAGCTTCTTGCGCGTTACTTTCAGCCCTTGTTGGGATACTCAAGGACTTATTAGCCCAATTGAAGCATTAGGCTTAGCTAGGGACAACATTAATATGTCACATCATTTAGAATATTATCATTGTTATTGTGTATTTTGAGTTACACGAACAACTAGTAGCAAAAAACTAATCGCAGTTGAATCACCCTAGTCTTTATAATCATCAACAAAGATGACCTCTAAACCAACATTAGGACCGCCACGAGGATGACCTCTAAACTACACACAATGCCATTCTTCTCTTATTAGGGGTTACCTTGTGCAATTAACTTCTAATTCTGCAAATCCAGCAAACTATAGCTAAGCCAGCAGTTGCCTGGTTGAAAAGCTTCAATCTTTGGAGTTCAAAGTTTGCATTTAATATTGTCAAACATGACAAAATTTTTGTTGTGAACCAACAAAATGCTTTACTCACATTGAATTGAGACAAAATCGTACATGTTTCTGAATTTCAAGTTTCAACTACAGTCAGGTACGCATTAATCTCAAATGAAACCATATAAATGCATGAACCAACCAACCAAACCAAATGCAGAATGCCAAACCAAAATTAAAATATCACCAACCATGGTCCATACGAAATTCACTTCATCATCATCCCCTGAACCTGAAAATTTGTACCTCAAACCAAACCGTCTTTTTTTTTTATTTACAATTTTGTTTTTAATGATTTGGGTTTTCTCCAAATTTGTAAAATGCCCTTGTGACTTGTTTTTAGGTTCAGCTAGCTACCCCTCACCTCAAGCTTTGTCTGACTCTGGGCTAGGCCGCCTCTGCCCCCTCTGTCTGAACACTCACAAATATAAGGAGAGGTCACAAGACACAAAACATATGCAAAAACTCAGCCCCACACAAAATTAAATTTCTTCCACATGAGAGAGAGAGAGAGAGAGAGAGAGAGAGGCACATATAAATCTTCTTCTTCAAGCATAAAGCTCCAAACTTTTGCAGATTCACCGTGGGCAACCACAGCCCCCTAGAAGATCTTCTTTGTTTCCCATCTCCATACGATCAATCAGGGCCGTGCACGTCATGTCAGCCTAACGGTTTTGAGCCATCATCTCGAGCAGCGCAGCGCAAGTGTTGTTCCAACTGGCCTTTTCGCCTTTGCCTTGGGCCCCATTGCCTCTCTTGGTCCCCCTCCAGCTCAGACTTCACTGTGTCTCTGCCCTCTGATTGCGATTGCGGACCCACCAGCTCTCATTTTGTTGACGTGGCCATGGATTTTCGATGAGGGGTACGGATTTAGATTTTGGGCTCACGCGTCAGGACAAAGGCCCACCAAGTTATGGGCTTTTGTGGCCCATTTGTGATGTGAGGCTAAGATTTGGCAAGGCATGGGATGAGATTTGGTAGAGGAGCTTTCTTTTCTCCGCGTCTATAGTTTGATGGGATGTGTGGTTCTAATATCAAGCCATGCTTTTTGGTCATATTCACCTATTTTTCCTACCCACCATAAAAAGATTAAATTAAAAAAATATAATATATATATATATATATATATGAATCGCAAGATCAATAGCAAATCCAGAAATATCTCTCCTCTTTTTGTCTTTTGTTAGGTATATGATGGACAAGATGTTTGGATGTTGCAATGGTAACCACCCCAAGCATCTTTTGTTTATTGTTAAATTTTGGGGGACTGCCATGTCATGGTTGCGCTTGTGGGACCTAACTCCGTGAGTTCGATGCTGGATAGTTCACTCAATTTTTTTTTCAAAAGTAGGGTTCATAGTGTTTTTCTAACTATTCTCTTTAATTAAGGAGGATTAAATTTAGGAACTATGGATCTTTCGACTCCCAATCAGGTCGCTCTACTAGTAAGGGCGAAACTAGAAATT